AGCTCTGCCAGCTCCTCCCTGCCCGCCACTTTGAGGCCATTAAGGCACATATGCGTAAAGCACCCGTCTGCATACCTGTGCAACCTGGTGAATCAGATGCAGGAATTAATCCTGCTAAAAAAAACCCTAATAAATGTATCTTCAACAAACCTGCAGGACTATTTTTAAGCTGGATCGTTTCCCCTGTACATCTTGTGTTGGTCCACTGCCAATCCCTCCTGCAAAACTGAGGAGGGGGCAGAGGCCAGGAGTGAACAGTGGGAGCCCGGCCAGAGCTGCTGCGATGCGACAGCTGGGGCTTCAGAGCAGCTCCAGCCAACTCGGGTCAGGGGCTTCACAGCCCTGCGTTGTCCCTGCTTGTGCGCTCCTCATTCTCCTCCCCTCAACTGGTCATGGATCTGTCTGTGTGGTCTGTGAGTTCAACTAGCTAAACTGGCAGGAAATGAGCCCATTTCTCTCGTTCTCCCTGCTGGACCAGTCTTTTGCTAATTTAGCACCCTGGATTCAACTCCCTATATAGTGAAATGAACACTACTGGGAAGGCACTCCCACAGGAGCAGTAAATCAGCTTATACTATCAAGCCATCAACTTCAGCCTTAATTATTCAAGTTTAAATAAACCAGTTCAGTGTATGGACTAATTTAACTCATTAGTTTAGCATCGCAAAGTTAAAGGCATAAAACTGTACTTCACTGAACTACGATAAAGGGGCACAGGTCATGTCTCCTTCACGCCACTGGCATTATAAAGTGATTTGGTGACCTGAGAAAGCGACACTGGTCACTGGTACTTAATTTGTTACAAAGGCTCTTTGTGTTAATAACACTATCTGTATTTCTGGCTCAACTGATGACATCTGAACAAAAATTGTAAAACTAGAATTAAAATGAAAACAAGACCTCTAATTTACTTTTTGTAACCAGGGGTTGTATCTATATCATTGAGTGGGAACTAAGCCCAGAACAAGAGTAGCTCAACTCCAAGCACCTAATCCATTCAAGAAGAAATAAATGTGTACGCAAACATATAGTCTTTTAGGCACAGTTATCAAACCCTAAATTCATATTATTACCTTAACCTACAGTTAACTGCAAACATAAAAATAACCCTAAGCGTTTCCACACAGCCACCTGCACAAGTTTCTAGTTAGCACATGTTTACTCACAGAACTACACTCACCAATAGATGCAATTTCTTTGTGAAGACAAAATGCAAGCTACTATACAACCGATTTTTTAATTAAATAGGAAGCGCTTCTAGACACTTCAGTCCTATACGAGAACTTGGAGATCTGGGTCTCCCAAGTGGAAGGCAGCAAGGGACATAAACTTACACCCTGAAACCACGAGCCTGCAGTCTGCACAGATATGAACTCTTACCATTTAAAAATCTATATATAAAAAAAAAGCTTCCTCTTCAGCCAAGATTTTGCTGTGTGCTTACGCACTTTTGGTCTCTGAATGTCATCAAGGGCACATCTTGGAATGCCACACGGTACGCAGCTGATGAGCAAAGAGCTTGGATTCCCTTCCCCTGCAGCTTTACGAATGCCACAGGGTACTCGTTACGCAGGCAGACTGCATTAATTCTGCAAATATGTCCACTTGTTCAGTTCAGCACAACAGTGCTAAAATAGGCATCTAGAGGATGCATCTCCACTAACAAAAGGAGCAGGAATCCTCTCTCTTGACTTCCTCTGGAGGTGTTTTATTCACGGTTCAGTGAAGTGCATGGTAAACTGCAACGATGAGCAGAATGCTATTTAAAGGCACTTATATGGGTCAGAACTAGAAATGTAATGGTAAACAGGATAAATGAAAAACAGCTAGTTTCCTGGAAGTGAGCAAAAAACCCAAACACATCAAGGGAAGAATGATGTCATTCTATTAAACCAGAATAAAACAAAATTAAATTCAAGGGATGTCTAAAGTTTGTATCTTGTTTCTCATATGTAGCAAAGCAATATGAGCATGAAGTCTACCAGGGCCCATATAATCCTAGTAAACAGATTGAATCTGGGCAGAAATCGAGTTAGGGAACAAGAATTCACATTGCTTTGAGAGGAGAATCAGCAAAACTAATTATTAACTGCCTGCTACTCTGCTGTCTTACAAAAAGTCAACAAACAACATTTCTATGCCAAATGCAAGAACCTGAGGTGCGAGGCGGCCGTGATGGACACACGCCGTTCTCTCTTTGGTCACCAAACTTCCTAAATACACAGAGATCCTGAAGATGCAGCTAGTTCGATATGGCTCCCCCAGGCTGTCAAAGAAAACTGCCTGGTCATCTCAGGTGGATTCAAAAGGAAGAATGCAAGCCACACGCTTCCTCCAGTCCCTCCTACCGACCAGCACTGGAGCGACCCCAGCAGAGATCTCCTGCCACAGCTTGGCAGGGACAAAGCGCTGCTCAACCCCATTGTACACTGGATGGGGGAGAACCCAGGGCAGTTTGGGATTTACCACTGTACCTTTTAGATATTTACAAAACATATACACAAAATTCTACAACCCTTAGGAACCCCGGGAAGGGAGGGGAGCATTGAGAACACAGCACAAGGCAGGCAGCAGGAGCATCTGCTTTCGGATTCCCAAGAGAGAGGAGGAGGAGAAGAAGAGAGAGAGGTTTCATATCATTAGATTAGAATGGAAACCACAGGGCAGGAAAATGCATTCAGATTTTTTTTTTTTTTTCCTAAGATGGAGGAAGAACCCAAGAGTGAGTAAGTGACCTCCAGAAAGATCCATTTCCTTTGCTTCACCATCAGATCACCAAACTGTTGTTTTTCCATTACTATGTGAATACCAGGTGCTTCGTGCAGCTACACCCCACTCAAACACTGGGGCCTCCCATTTTCATGCTAAGCAGGAATAATTTTGCATTCTTTTAAAAACAGTTATTATTTTGGGTAGAGAAGGATGCAAAGATACAATAAAATTACTCTTCGGGTGTTTTCTCATTCTGTTCAGATTCTGTTCCATCCCTCATATTCAGGCTATCAGTTTTGCAACTGCTTTTTGCTGCAAGATGACAAAAAAAAGCAGTAGAAAACTGCGTGGTCAAGGACTGGAAGAACCATCTCTTCGGATTGCTTTCTTTTTTCATACATTTATTAAGAGTTCAGGATAAAATTCGTCAAGGAACTCTTCAGCAATAATTTTTGTTTTAACTGAAAACCAGAAGCCTTGGGTTTTAACAACTGCACAAGAAGGTACGTAGTCATAAAGTAAGTCTTCACAGAGAGCCTCCAAAGTTAGTGCTGCCTAGAAGGGAAAAGGCAGCCATGGGCACTTAATACAGGGCTGTATGGATGGGTGGGAGAGAGTGAAGCTCATGTGTGGAGAGGAAAACACTGTTCTGGAAAGCACAGGCAGTGGGGGATGAAGGATAGAGCTCACCACTTTGCCAGGCCAGTTATTTTTGTTCTTTCTTTTGCAATTACATCCAAACAAGCAGGGATTTGATAGAGGCCAGAGGCTATTCCCAAAGCCAAACAGAAATTACTAAAATCAAGACTAATTCGCAGATAGCTCTGGCCTATATATATCAGAAGAACAGCAGAGAGCAGAATAAATATTTACAAACTCAGCATAGCTGATTGTTTTGGTAAAGCATATAGATTTTTATCCACACAGGGAAGTAAAACTCTCTAACTAAGCCATATAGACTTTACTTGTTCAGACTGTCTTATTAAAAAAAAACAAAAGCAAAACCAAAACCACGCTATTAAGCACAAACAAAGGATGGGGAAAGGGCTAACACTCATTTCTTTTGTATATAGATCAACCGCTTTCTGGTTTCCAGCTAATACTGAAGAATTTCAGAATGCATCTTGGGAAACATGGGTGGAAATTTGCAGAGGGCTCTGAACATGAACATACCCTGGAATATACGTTGAAGCAAAGAGGCCATCTTGAGACTGTGAACCTCAAACCCAAGTGAAAGGCATAGACTCTAAACCAAAACTGCTTAGCTGAATTGCAACTTCAAAATCTCTTGTGTGCATGCACACATGTGCACACACGTGTGTGTGGGGAGGAGGGAAATTTTGTTTTAATTGAAAATGGGAATCTTAGCATTGATTAAGTCAAGCAGAGTATAGACATGCACTGTGCAAGCTTCCCCCATAGAGCTTTGGCAATGCACCTCGCTCCTGACCTGCAAAACTCCCTGCTATTCCAGTGCTGAACCTCCTGGGCAGAGAGAGAATCACATCAATTTGTCATTGTGGTGATACTGGTTACGTGATGAGAACCAATTGCCAATTAGGACAAAGATCACTGAATCTCTCTGCAGCTGACCTGAGCAACATTTGAAATCTCATCTCCAGAGAAATAAATTACCATTAACCCTCAACAAAACCTCCCTCTTAATATATCTGTAAGATGAAAATAGGTGTGTGAATGCAAATTCAGTGGGGAAAGGTCCACATGGGGCAGAGCAAGTGGAATGAGGATGCTTATATTAAGCACCAAATATCTCAAACATGAAAGGTCAGTATCTCAGAAGTACCGAGTAAGTCTGCAGAATAAGAGTAAATAAAATCCCTTCACATATGAGATATGACCATTTTTCTATAGAGGTATTTTCATGCAACGAAAATGTGGTTGGGAGGATGGGTGGGTTAGGCTTTGTTCTTACAGTCTCCCATCACACAAAGCTGTTTTACCTTATTCTGCCTTCTCCACAGGGCACCCATTGCTAGTGCAATGGGAACAGGTTGGTCTGAAGGCTCAAGTGACTGACTCTCTGTTTGTTCAGAAGACTGGGGAACCTGATCCCCCCACTACAGACAAGAATGTCTAGGAGCATTTCTACATGCTGCCCAGAAATGACCATGCTTAGAGTCTGGAGTCAGAGGGAACGGCAGACAGCCCCCAAAATAGCT